AGGAAATCAAAGAAGATTATCAATTGAAATTTGAAATCTAAAAGCATTTTCATGTAAGATTATAAAGATATACTCAAGAAAAGAATGATCAATAGAAGAAAAATATACAGAACAAATGTAACTATGGACTTTATTAATGAGAAAAAAAAATGTTCTTCATGTTTGCATTTTATATATAAATACCTCACCTCTGTCCTATTATTTTCCTCCTTGTGTTGAATAACTAACAAGGTAAAATATATAGCTCTCACTCTCATTTTACTTTTACATTTCCATTTCCATTTAGCTATCCCACAACAATCAGAAAAAATGACTTAGAAGCATAAATCTATATCAAAATACTTCAAGGAAAGTAAGAAAATATACAGGATGGTTAATTTCGGCATTTGGGCAAGCTCTTCTGGAAGATACCCTGATAAATTGTTATTTTCAAGAAGGCTGCATAAGAAAAAAATGAATGGAGCCTTAGAAGGAATTTGAGTTGCACACAATCACAGATAAGTTAATGCTAGAGATATATATCACAAGACTAAAATAGGAGAAATTAACCTATGATAAACTTACAAGTGTAAAAGGTTTGGTAATTTGGAGAGCTCCGGAGGGATTTGTCCGCTAATTGAATTATTATTCATATGACTGCTCAAAAGGAGAAAGAAGATAAGGAATAGATTGAAAATATAAGAAGGAAGGCAAAGTGAAAATAACTAGGGAACTAGTAGTGGCTATTTCAAAAATGCCCTTACAAATGCTTTGTTTTGTTTAAGTATGCAAATGATGTAGGTATTGGTCCGGATATGCTATTCTCGTCAATTTGAAGAACTTTTAAATTCGGCAGATAGCCAAGCTCATCAGGCAAAGAACCTGTCAATTGGTTCCCATTCAAGAGCCTGTAAAATAGAATACCACTTCTAAATGAGCGAATAAGAAAATTTGATGCAGATATGCAGAATTACAATATTGATAATAGAAATGAGCTAACTAGAAAATCATTGTTAAATAAATTTAACTTAAAATAGCTCCAAGGTTGTGATATTGCCAATCTCTTTTGGTATACTCCCACTAATTTTGTTCCATATAAAACACCTTTTACAATGGAAATGAATGATAAATCATCATTAAGTAAAAAATTATAAACCTTCCAGGAAGGATTGACATAAAGATAGCTTTCATAATATACTTAGCCTCACAATATCAACAGATGAGGCAAGCGGCCAAGTGCTGGTGATAAAGTTCCTGAAAGATTCATATTCAATAGTTGCCTGCATGAAACAAAAAAAAAAAAAAAGAAAAAAAAAGAAGAAAGCAATATAGCATCGTTGTTAATTAGTAAAAATGTCAAAAAGCAATCAGGTGAAAATCTACTGGAAGTTGATATCTAGTTTTTGTGGGTTTGTTGGCATTTAGAAAATTCTTGCCATAAAAACAAAATAACAGTAACCAGTTTAGGGCTATGATATGATGAAGGGCTTATATATAGTAGCAACTTTTCAATGATGTTAAGATGTATTAGCAAGTGTTCTGATTAGTACCTAGACCTATATATCTTGGTTGAAGGACTGCAGTGATGGGTAATTTGTCCATAAACATGCAAAACTAAATTGACAACTAAAGCTTACAATTCTGTGACATGCAGATAGCCATCATCTAGGGTTGTATTAGAGCATAAAACTCCAGTCCAATTGGATGTGCATGGATCTCCTCGATTCCAATTAGCCAAATTTTTCTTGGGATCAATCAAACTTTTCTTGATGGTTTGCAATGCGCTCACTGCAAATTGTAATTAACATGAATCAATTCATCCAAATGAACGTTATGATTTTGGAATATGGAAGAGTAAATTAAACCCCACAAGATGAAAGTGCAAGCTACTACTAGACTTTAAAAGGAATAGAGCCAAGGAAACTATATATGTTCAGTAGTATTTACAAGTATGCATCCCATATCTCAAAAAGTACTTAACATATATAGTCCTGTTCTCAAGGCACAATTAATGTAAACTCTTAGGCATTCTTTGAAAGTAAAACTGCGAGAGGGCATATGGTAGAAGCTTGTGGCCTCTACAATTGAATCAAGACACAAAAAAGGCTACCTTCATCTGGATGAGTTTTGGAACTTTGTGCTCCAACAAGCGCTGAAGACAAGTAGAAGCAGCCCAAAAGGACACAGAGTTTTGCTTTGGACATCCCAAGATAGCAGAGTTCACCAGAGTTGTGAAGCATCTTTGATCACTACATACAGAACCAAAAATGGGAGTCTTGTCTTTCAGTATAAGAAGAAAGCAACAAAGACTGAAAATTTAAATTTAGGGTCCGTTTGGTCCACAGAAAACCATTTTCAGAATATTAACATTTTCTGTATTTTCCAATATTTTGTAACTTTTTGAAAAATTAGTCAATGGAAATTAAGTGTAGTGAACGGAAAATGACTTTCGGATTGAATACACGGAAGTTGTTTTCCAACATCCAAAACACTCGGTTCCTAAGGATCCGACTGACAAAATAAGCGGGTTTTCGGGTTAAAACATTGAAGGCCAAGCAACTCCATTTGCACCAACAAGGAACATCATTTTACTCCGGCAACTACCAACAAGTTCGTCGGCGGCCATTTGCAGAGTGAAAAATATTTTTTTATAAGAAAATATTTTCTAAAATGAAGTCTTTTCCGTAAACCAAATGGATCCCTTAAACTTTTTATCGATCGGAAAAAAGAAACAACATTAGATTGTATTCATTCAGATAAATGCAAAACTCCTGCGCGAGACAGACTGCTAAAGAGACAATGAAGCAATGCTACATATAATTGCAAACGAAATAGCAAGGAGGTTTGGGAAGATAAAAAGAAAATAAAACATTACCGTGTGTAGAAATATAGAATTGTAGAGACGAAAGGTTTCTGCAACATAAAATGAAAATTGGAAGATATATATAATCGAAGTCCCACTTTGACCAGGTCACCAGTGGGCCGCCACGGTGGAATTGATGATGTGGAGTGAAGGTGAGGTGAGCAAGCTAATAGAAAAAGTCAGAACTCAGAAGCCATGACCAAGCTAACTACAATGACTTTGCTGGACCTGCTCCCATAATAAAAATCTATCACAATAATTTTAGTACTTGAAGTAGAAATTTATTGTGTAATTTGTTTTATAAAATATAAATCTTTATTAATACTGTTTAAGTCTTTGTAACTAAAAAATAAAAAATTTTCAAAAAGAGTTGACGAGGATGATGGCCATAACTACTGTTTTTCACACCACAAATGATTCGTTCAATTTCTTAAAGACTATAAAACTTTGAAAGGCAGCTTTCAGCTTCTCTCAATGGGTTTGGCAATGGACTTTCTCCGGGCTCGTTAAGTTGCAGCTATCAAGGTAACGGTGAGGGACAATTGCTGTCTAATTCCTGTGGAGTCACTCTCTATATTTATGGATTAGCCTTTAGTTGGGTTAGCCATACCGTATGGACTATCCCACCTAATTTGATCACTTCACTCGTCTTCAGTTGGAGGACAAGTCACCTTTCAACAGAAAGCTCAGGAATAAAAACACCATCCACATTACATTTCTCTCTCTCTCTCTCTCTCAGTTTCAGCTCGTAAAACTTGGAAGTTCATTTTTTCAAAAAAGGCACCTACCCAACTCAAGTCGGTTTCAAATTAGTTTAAATCCAGCAAGGCCACTATTCATTTAAAACAAAAAAATGAAATGCGCGACTTTGGGTAAGGCTTGTTTGGATCTGACGATAACACCTTGCTGCTCCTGCAAACCCAAATTGGGGTTATTGTCACATTCTATTTTGATAATATCACACCTAAAATTATGCACTGATATATTTACTCATAATTTAAAAAATAATATTTTTTCCTTTTCAAAACTACCTCTTTTACTTCTCTTAACCCTTGCCGCTGTAACCCTATTTCTATTTCATGACTAATAAGGACATGTTTAAAAATAAATAAATATATTTTTTTAAATATTTTTATTTTTTATTATTAAAATTATGCACTGATATATTTACCCATAATTTAAAAAATAATAATTTTTCCTTTTCAAAACTACCTCTTTTACTTCTCTTAACCCTTGCCGCTGTAACCCTATTTCTATTTCATGACTAATAAGGACATGTTTAAAAAT